CACAGCTTCCCTGAATTATTGAGATGAATGTGTGTAGTATGTTTCACAGCCAACATGAGTTTTATTCTTGTCATTTGTACACTGAGATTTAAACCATTTGCAAAATATCAGAACAAACTTTATATATATATATATATATATATCATTTAGACTGTTTTAATTCTAAAGCAATAACAACAGAAGTGTGGGTCTTACTACAAAGTAAAGATTGTAAGAAGGAAAAATATAAAATTCTTATGTGGTACTGGTACTAGTAATATTACATACAAATCACACAAGTTTATCATTCTAAATACTGAATCATATTATTATTATTATCAACTAAATATAAAATTATGCTACATTATTGAACTTAAAACTACAAATTTAAATGCAAAAGAATATAAAAAATCTCAAACTCTTTCAGTTCAAAGTGCTAAGCCTAATTCATATAAAGACCTTGCACTCACCACTCGATACCTCTTAACCCTAACAATCGTGGATCAACTTCTTTCCTAAAAAATATATCTATTTTGAGTTAATTTTTCAATATAATGATTAATACAAATAGATATACGATCGCTGCTCATGGGTTATAGATTGTACTGATTAAATCACCCAGCTATAATCATGATACAAATTATTTCTTTTGGGTGTTTGAAAATATTATTATAAATACTATACAATATTTATTGTATATTTTATAACAAACAAACTGGGAGTGTTTTGTGGAAACTTGCATTCTTATCTCTTTGTACCCCTTAGACATTATGTATTTAATAGCATTGGTTTTCATTTTAATCTTGTACTATGGCCATTTAGTGCATTTTCTTGTGTGAATTCATGTTTTTATTGTGACAAACCTCAACTAATTTTCTTTTCATTATATATACCTCTTGACATATTCATTGGATTTCTCATGTTTTGTGCAAGTGTACATCGTTTCATTTATTTATAGTTATTCAATACCGGTTGTATATTTTGATATCATTTTTGATCTTGTTATCTTGCAAACTTCTCAATTTCACATCAGATCCCATCACTTGGAGATTGTCAGGTTATATGTATGTGTGTATGGGCAAGATTCTTTACAGTAGGTGTCTGTGACTTGTTGGCAATAAATTTCAACAATAACCAAACAGCAACACAGTCCACTTGTTTTGAAATAATTTATTAAAACAAGTCAAATGTATATCCAAATGTTCATTTACACTTGATTATCACAGTTGTATCCAGAGCTTTAAATAATTTTCTCTTTTTCATCAAAGTACACACAAGCTGGTTCATTTACTTTAGTACACAATTAACAAGACAAATTATTTCTTCTCTATTCTGTTATTATAATACAATCTGTGATAATTTCACTTTAGAAATTGCCACTATATGCTCTTTATGGTTAAACTCACAATCACATAGTCCAAATCTAACTAACTATGTCTTACTAATCCTGTCTTACTCAAACTAAATTTTGTATGCATATTTATACCATGATTGCGAGGCCTAGAACGTTCTATATACTATGAGATATTATTATACAATAATATTCAATCAAGACATTGAAAAAACTTAGAAGGTTCTAGTAACATGATGCAATGATAGAAAAAGTGTCAATTCAAAATAATTGAATTACACAATGTATGATTCGTACACAGTTACATAAACAAACCTGTATTAAACTATCACTTCTAAAAATAACTAAATTTAACACCCATGTCAAACTTAAATTGAAACAGTCGTGTATATCCAACAGAAATTGGGGTTGCTCCTTTTCTCACTTTTCCATGGTTCCAACTCCTGGCCAGAGGTTCTATAGATTAACGGATGATGTATAGAAAACTTGTATAATTATTCCCCCACTGCAGAACATCACAGAACAAGTCATATTAGTTTGCCCTTGTATGTTCATGCTGATCTTGTGGAAAGGATATCTCAAGACTGACGGATGGTTTACACATCAGGTACTACATACAAGATTCTAGATGTGATTAACTCTATGAAGGTCATGGGTCAAAAGTAAAGGTTAACTGGGGGGACTTAAACATATAGTATAACTTTATTGGAGGCATAAGCACAATTTGCACTTATTTTCTGTTGTTTTTCTGATGCTTAAAAATAGCAGAAACTTTATTTAACGGATTTTTATTAGAAAGTATTTATTTTGTGCAATTTATTTATTTTATGAACATGTCCTTAGCTTCTGTGTGGTTTTTATTATCTTTACGATCTATAAACAATTTCAGAAATAAACAGAGAAGTAATGTTCAGACTGTCTGTGTATTTATTGGTACATATATATTTTGTCTTGTATTTCAGCCTTTGAAAATTCTACTATTATTGGGTAGAAAAAATTGTCTAGGTTTATTCTATGTGTTATGACTAATTTTGGTAACATCTAATTTAAAGATACAACCATTGTGCTGAATAAAGAAAGCTTAAGACCACACATACATAGATTATAGAAATAATTCTTATTTTAGAACTACTTTTGAAATGTATGTTGAGTAAAAGGTATTGCTATACACACTCCACTTTAATTCTACTATTACTTTAAATATTTTGAAACTATAACTTTTAACTGCTTTACTATTTTTGAATGATTGTTAAGGCCAGATAAAAAATTGTGTGAATAAAAATGCCCTGCTGCATTATGTCTTAAAATTTGGTTGAGTGTGTGTGTGTGTGTATGTATGTGTGTGTAAGTAAAGGTTAACTAGTAATTTAGTTAATGACAGAATACTTTCAGTCTGGTAAACTTTCATATACCAACTACATTCAAGATGTCTGTTTTTTAAAAAAAATTATATTTAGGTATGATATAATAAGTTGATTTGACAAAATGTGAAACAAATACAAAGTTGTTATATGAAATGTATATTATTTATCGTGTGATGAAATTTAATCAGAAATTTGAAACAAGAACACATTATAGATAATTTTTTAGAGTATTGTACATTAAAATTGTTGTTTTATGATTATTATGGTAATTGTACTTTTTGTCAATAATACTTCTTGTATTTTTTCTAATTTTGAACAAAAATGTGTTGTATGAGAAAATGACTGCTGTGTTGTCTTGTAGTGATCTCCACTTTACTGTTTTGGTTTGTTTGAAATATGGTTTTTCCAATAACAAACCCACCTCTTGTTTGTGTAATGACACTTCTAAAAAAATTGCAGAAAGTGTCTGTTAATAAAAATACAAGTGAATGATATAAGACAAATAATCTTGGATATTTTCTGTTTTCATTCTGTATTATGAGACTACACCATCAACTGAAGTGTTCAGATTTTTAGTTTTTTATGTTGTTGTTTTTTCAATTACCAAAAAATGGAATGAGTATTTCAAAAATACATCATTTTCTTTATTGAAACAAACTAATCAATAACATCAAAGTGATGTGTTTGGTGTGTGAACTGTAGGTTGTTATGATAATACAGATGTGATCATTCTGAATATTTTTGAATCTGTGATGGGCATGTGAAAGACAATACACGTTATAAATAGTATTTGTGTAAATACTAGAGTATGTAATCATGAACATACAGTTCTCCCACCCAAGCAACTTAAATAAAGATTGAGGACTTGGGCAGCGTTTTCAACTAGAACAAAACTCTCAGTTTTATTACTATTTTGACAATATACAGTAATAGTGTATCATTAGATCATTACAAACAAAATAAATTGTTTTTACCAACACTCTCCAATATGCCTAAAAGTACTTCAACTATCTTTTTATCAGTACTTTGATCAATTAATCCTGGTCTCAACACACATTTCTACACTTACAAACTTATATCTCTAGATATTGGTTAAGAATGCAAATTTACTTATGTGAAAGTTGAATACAAAAAATTCTCCATGGCTGTAAGATTAGACTGCAAATTTCTGAAGATTGAAAAGACTAAATATTCTTGAGGAGGCTAAAGAGATTGACTTGTGATCACTTCAATCCAACTTTTATACAGCTTGTTTATGAAAGTTCAAAAACTAGAATAATACACTTGATTTTGCACTTAGCACGAAAAGATTGTACGCAACAGTAAGTAACTCGGGGACACTTAAATTCAAGAATTCCTGGGCTCGTCCATACCCAGATAACCCTTGACTTTACACATGCATTACTGACATCAACATTGTACCTTGAGAGGTCTAGTTTCTTTCAAATGTCCACTAATTTCCTTCCTAACAAACTCCTCTCAGAATATGTGATACCCATTTTTACATATGTTTTTAATTAATGTTTCATTTATTGTAAACATCCTGACAGTTTACTGGATTGAATATTGTCTCACTACTGAGATTAGACAGACTGTTATGGCTAATTATGATAATTCCTAACTGTAAATCTAGCCTTTTTATAATTGTTATCTTGCATTCCATTACTGTCTGGTTGCTTTCTTTATAAAATTTGTTTTTGCAGCATTCTTTTAGGTGTGTCATAACGTACTATATTATTATTTGATGTTATCAAGACATTACTTTTTTATTGAGAAATTTGTATTTAGTTAAGTTGTATTTAATAACATGTTGCTCTTCCTGTATTATAAGTTATATTAGATATTTGATGAAATAATCTATATCAACTCCATACCTCTACATCACCTGCTTCACATCACATCTAATTGTGAAGGTTTCTATTATTGGTGTGTTTATCTATAGCATGTTCTAATGATTTATTAAAATGTGGAGCATAGCTAAAATATTTTTTAGTAACAGTAATGTTTAATGTTATTTCAGTGTATGAAATGTCCATTAGAATGACAGTTAAATTTTAAGTTTCATAAAAACATGCTTGTTAGTATTTTCTGAAGATAATTACTGCTCATGTACATTGTGAAGTGCTTTTATAGTAGTTACTCAACAACAAAAATAAACATTTTAAAGAATCATATGATGACTGACAGAACTAAAAAGGTTACTATGATAATTATGATATGACCAGAATGGTTGATCAATATGTTTGTAGTTTTAGACAGCTGCCTTGAAGGAAGCTCAGTTTACTGAATTTATTTTTGTTTTTCAGATTTATTTTACTTTGCTCACAAACTAGTGGATCTTTATCCTGAAAAGGCTGTAAGTAACACCCACAGTTGCTTCATTATAATGTTAGTTAAACATGATACAAATTTTACTGTTTTAGAGATTAGGATGCATACTCAGTTCATTAGTTATTTACTTTGTTTCATCATAATTCTCAGTGAAAATGTTCAGCTATTTTAAAAATGTTCTACAAAATATGTATTTTGTTTACTTGAAATGAACAAGTTTACTTGAAAGAAATTTTTATGGTGCTGATATTTTAGGTATACTATACTTCATGCATTTATTTTTAACTGATGAGCTATAAAATTTCACTTGCTTTCGGACTATAGTAAAATTTATAATTCATTCCATCATTATTGAGTTCCAACTCTTTACTGTAAATCATTGTGTGTGTGTATGTTGATATCCAAAGGTACTTACAAAGATAATGCATAAAAAGCACTTATATTTGCTTTTCTTTGTTTTGCCAATTAAACTTTTAAGAGGTTAGTTAAAGTTCACTCTGAAGAATAAAGTATCAAAAAGTTGTTTGTACTAGTAGACCAAATTTTGTGAACATCTATAGAAATACTTGGGTGTAAAACATTCATTACCAATAATTTCCTATCTACATGTAGTGTTGTTCTATACACACACTTTTTAGTTATATTTACATGTTACTAAGCTAGTTTTAACTATGAAAATCAAATTCTTTCTTACTTAAGAATGAATAGCAGAAATAGTATTTCTAATGGAATTTTTCAAAATTAAATCTGTTCATGATAGATAAAAATTTAAATAGGCTGACTTACATATTGGCACAACACTTGGATTAAAAGCAAAAGGTCTTGTTGACTTTTTGCTTTTAATCCAAGTGTTGTGCTGAGGCTTAGATGTACTTTCAGCACAGTTCTAGTTGTCCAAGAACTTACATTAATATGTTTTTTAACTCTTTTCAGCCCTAGTGGCATTATGCTAGCCACTTCTGTATTTTTATTCATAGAAATAACTTATAAATGTCACTATATTTGAAACACAAATACTTCAAATGTAAGCATGCTAGTCATTGAATGTTTTTAAACATAAATTAATAAGTTTTTTTTGGTAACTTTAAAATTTATAGTGAAATAAAAGGCTTGTAAAAAAATTATCTCTATAGGTGTGGGGGATAAGTTAGCTAATTGGATAGAAGAATGACTAGATGGAAGAAAGCAGAAGGTTGTTATAAATGGAGTTCAGTCAAACTGGATTAATGTCACAAGTGGGTTACCTCAGGGCTCAATCTTAGAACCTTTGCTCTTTTTGATTTACATCAATGACATAGATGAAAAATTAGTCACTAAATTACTTAAATTTGCAGATGATATTAAGGTCTTGGGTGTTGCTAGCTGTGAAGAGGATGCTGCTGATTTATAAGAGCATTTAGATCATTTAGTGAATTGGGCAAATAAAAGGCAAATGGGTTTTAATTACAATAAATGGAAGATAATGCATGTGGGCTATCATAATTTGAATTATAAGTATAATTTGGACGGGAATAACCTCAACAGTTTCATGAAAGAAACAGATCTTGGTGTAATAGTTGATCAGTTTCTAAAGTCATCCAAGCAATGTGCTGTTGCTAGTGGTAGGACCAAATAATTTTAAGTTGTATCTACAGAAATATTGAAAACAAGTCTAAGGAGGTTATACTTTCATTGTATAGGACAATTGTTAGGCCACATTTGGAATATAGTGTTCAGTCTTTGGCTCCTTACCTTAGGAAAGACATTGAATTGTTGGAAAGGGTTCAGAGAAGATTTACTAGAATGGTGCCTGGGATGGAGGGGCTTTCATATGAGGAGAGGTTGGAATCTCTCAAATTGTTTTCTCTTGAAAAAAGAAGAGGTAGGGGGGAATCTGATTGAGGTGTTTAAAATTGTAAAGTGAATTGATAGTGCTGATGCATCATCTTTTTTCATACTTAACTGTGAGAATAGTAGGACTGGGGGACACAAATATGACTCATCTTCAGCTAAGACAGTTTTATTTTTCAAACAGGGTGGTTGGTGTTTAGAATGGGTTGCCTTCAGGTGTTGTGGAGACAGAAAATTTCAGTGAGTTTAATAGAAAGCTTGATGAGTATATGAATGATAAGGGCTGGCTTTAAGATTTTTTTAAAATTTACTTATTAATAGTTTTAGTTTAGTTTAGAGGATGGAACAGCCAAGATGGAACCAATAGGTCCCATGTTGTCCCAAAACGTTATGTAATCTTTTATGTTATGTTAAAACTATTTCGTGACATAGCAGTTTACAATGGAATTATGCAACACATCCTTAATTGTTGACCTGAAAGCCAGTATTCATATGATTATTGCAATCAAAGGCCTAATACTTCAGGCATTAGTCCAATCTGTTGAAAAAAAATTTACAATAAAGTGTCTTGTATATTGTTAAAATTAACCCTTTCGCAATGGGTGGATACAAATTACACCTAAGGAAATGTGTGAAACAATACATATGGTGATTGTAAGCTTTATTTATTTATTCTCACAAAAACTAGTTAGATTTTGTTAAATATTATAAGTATCTTCTACACAAAGAATGTCATTATTTTAAATAAGTCTTTCTACTAAAAATATTTTATTTATCTATTATAGTTATTTGCACTCAAACTCTGAATAGTTTAAATGCAAGTTGATTTTTCATTTTAAATATAAAAATACTTTTCTGTCTTAATCTAACAGTTTTCAAATTTCATTTGCATAACCTCTAGAACCTCCTAAATGAATATCAAAAGTTTTTTGTTTTTTTTGGTTAATGTTTATATTTTATTTTTCATTTTCTCTACCTTATTACTAATTCTAGCTATTATCATCAACATACAGTGCAATGAAATTATTATAATTAAGAAATAGAAATATGTACATACTTTTTAACTCATCATTGAATAATCTAAATATATCTTCTTTTCTTTGGTCACAAATATAATTTCATATCTGTGTCTTTTCAGTTATACTTTACTTTTAATGTTTTATTTTCCTTTCCTGTCCTTTACAGTTTATTATTCATCTCAACACAAGTCAATCATGCCCTCTAGGTGTATTACAGTATTCTCGGGAGAGATGTGCAAGCCTTTGGCAAAATTATCTTGCACTTGCACAAGTGTGTAAACCTTGAGAACTGGTGCAATGTTTGTGCTAACTTTAAAAAAAAATTAAGCCTTTCAGTTATGCATTTTAAGGCATAAATAATACAAAATTAACTAAGATATGAAAGTAAAACGTAAATGCAACTTATGTAAGAAACATTCAAAGTGTTATTGTGAAGAAAGCAGCTAACAATGCTACAAACAGTTACATTTACCTGATGACAACTTTTGGTGCAAATTTCAAAATAACCATTGTTAGATTATAGTGTAAAATGAGCTCTTTCTAATGACTGTATACATGTATGTGTAGTAAATACATATGGCTTGTAAACTTCAAAGCAAACTACAGATTGTGGGTGTGGCACTTGTCAGGGGTTGGAAGAATTTATTACTTATTTCTACTGGATTCAACAAAAGGACTTTGAATAATTTGTGTCATTAGGAGAAGTAGATGTATTTATTGTCTAGACATTAATGTACAGGCTGTGGTTTATTTTCAATACAGAGGCTGCAAAAGTTGATGTTTCTTAACTCAAGGGTCACATGAAAAGAAAACTGGAGATTAAGTATTTTTTAAAGGTTTCTTTTGAAATAAAGAAATTAAAACTTGTGTAAAATAAAACTTTGAAATATAAAATACATTATAATACTAATTTCCTTGACATACATTGATAGTAAAGCTGCTTAATTAAATTTTGAATGTAACTCAGTGAGTTATGCAGAACAAGCTTTAAAGGGAGTACCCATTGTGAAAGGGTTGATGAATCCGTTAAAAAATACATAATGTTTATCTTACTATATCTTATTCATCAGCATTACTTCTGAGCTTCTTTTAAAAATTATGTACACCTGTTTGAGAAAGACCCCTGCTAATGTCTAAGCTCATGCTAGAGGAAATCCATCATAATTATGACTTACAGTTTGAAACTACAACTACCAGTTATTGTAAAACAATAAAGAACTGCCAAAGTTGTAACTTCACAATATACAAATAAGCAGGAAAACCAATAAACTTAGATTATTATCTTTTCAAAGCATAAAAAAATGAAGCTATGATATACTGTATATATTGATATCCTAATAGGAAGCCAAGGTTTTCATCTATCAAATGATATATGATATCACATTGTTTTCTGTACAGAGAATTTTCAGTTCAACCTTTATTCCCATTGGGAAACACATTGACAAGCTTAGCTGAATTTTTATGGCTTGTGTTGCATAGTTTGAAAGCAAAAAAATTGTGATAGCTTTGGGACATTGTGTGTTTTTTGCATGTTATTATTCTTTGTTATTTGGTGTATTATTTAATTAACCCCTTTTGCAATGTTAGCCTCTTTAAATGCTTTTCTGCACAAGTCTTTGTGTTAAGTTCTAAAATTGAATTAAACACCTTTAATATCAACATAAGTGAATGAATTTAATAATATAATGTGTGTTATGCTTTGTAGTTTTATTTTTCCAAGTTTTAAGTCCTTTATTTCAAAATAAACCTTTAAAAACTACTTAAACCCCAAATGTATTGTCACATGGCCAACGAGCTATGAAAAATCCCTACTTTGGCTCTCTGTATTTTCAGTAATACAATGGTAATAGAGTAGAGGTAGATCTTCTTCCTTTCAAAGTACTCTGAATGAATACAGTTAAAACAAGTAAACAATTTTTTCAACCCCTGACAGCTACCACACCCACCTTCAACAGATGTTTGAGCTTTATCCCTTCCATGTAGACATTACATACACATGTGTATAAAACGATTAGAAAGAGCTTTACAGTATAAACTTACAATGGTTATTTTGAAATTGGCACCAAGTCTTCATCACAGAGTACATGAAATTGACTATAGTATTGTTGGCTGCTTGTTCGACTATAGTACTTATGGTTGTTTGTTACCTAAATATGTTATAGTTAGAGATACAATTTAAATTGTATTTAGATCTTACTATTGTATTTTAGTTAATTATTTATTAGTTTTAAAATGCACAATTAAAAGGTTTAAACATATTTTTAATATACATCATACTTCGTGTCTCTTCTGAAGGGTTACACATGTCTCCCAGAGAAACTAATATGCCTCAAAGGCACTGTTGGCTTGTATCAAGGTGAATAATAAGCTGTAAAAACAAGAAAGGAAAATCAAACATTAAAAATTGAATATATTTGAAAAGGAAAAGAGATGAAATTACAAATTTAACAAAAGGAAACTATTAAAAGATATTCTAGAAAAAATTAAAAGGTATGCATTTATTTTCTATTCCAAATTTTGATTATTTTGTTGTATTGTACGTTTATGATAATAACTAAGGTTATTGATATGGTAGAGAAAAAGAAAATATAAAAATTAACCATAAAAACTTGTGATATCCTTTTTGGAGGTTCTAGAGATTATGCAAATGAAATATGAAACTAAAAGATGGAGAAAATTTTTTTATATTTAAAATGAAAATCACTTTGCACTAGATTTGTTAATAGTTTGAATGCAAGTAACTTCAAAAAAAACAAACATATTTTTAGTAAAAACACTTAATTATAAAATGTCATTATTTGTGTACTTGTGATCTTTAATGAAATCTTACCAGTTTTTGAGAGGATACATTAAGAAATCTCAGAGTCACCACAACTATTGTTGTACAAGTGAACTTTGTGACTCGATTTCCATAAATTGCATGAGTCCATTGTTAAAGGGTTAAATAAAAAATTATTTAATGCACTACTACCATTAGTATAAAAAAGTAGGGTTAAGTATCAGTGACAGTTGACAGCAGAAAAAAAAAAAGACCCATGTAAATACTTTTCTTGTGTTTCTTTATTTATTATTATAAAAGTAACTAAAATGTAAAAATAGGAAACTTTTTATGTTAAAAATAGATTAGGTAAAATAAATAATAATAATATAATAAAAAATTTTCATGAGGTATGCTCATGAGTATTTTGTGTGTATTGTAATTCGATAGCTTAACATGAACTACATGTTTGCCAAGTGATTTACAACTTATAATGGTGCAAGTAGTAGTGAGAGTTAAACAAAGAAAATACAGTCAGTTGAATTTTACTGTTTTTGACACCAACAACTACAAAATTTCACTGTTTTCAATTAATTTGGCAAGAAATAAGGGTCAAACAAGTACAGAGATTACTTATTTACAGTTTTGTTTCATATGCTGACAAGTTGTATCTGCTCGTTTGGAAAGTTTAAATGTTTCTATACCTAAGTAAAATTACATTTGATTCAGAAATCTAAATTAGGCATACCAGTTCTTTTTTTTTTGCTATTATTTATCCAAAACAAGTGGTAATAAAATATATATTGAATCAAAATTATAAATTTGAACACTTCAATGATTGTTTTTTTTATAAATGATTTGAGACATGAAATCAGACATTTTCAAAACTTGATCATGTAATTTGCACTAATTAAAACATAAAGTATGACTCTGGAAAGAGTTAAGCAGATAAATTAATGTGCAACTTTTTGATTAATCTTTGGCTTGGAAAAGCTTGTGGTAATTTTTTCTCCCTTAACAATTTTTTTTTCTTTATTGAAATATGGTGGTTTATCTGTAGTGACTTGTTTATCTAAGCTTTCATTGTTATTACTTTAACTTTCATCATTTCTTTAGCTTTTGTAGTTATTAGGAGTGACTAATTTGTACTTATTGTTAATTTCAGTATCTTCCCAATAGTGCAAAAAAATATCTCAAAAGAGATACCATTACATGTAAAGTTTTGAAGTTTCTCAACATTTTCAGACATGAAATTGAAAAAATTTAAACTTTCTACTTAGAGCAATTTTTCATTTAAAAAAATCCAAATCAGTTAATTTCTTAAGAGCATCCATTATTCCTTAGTCACCCTTCCACTCCAGGAAGTCCAGAAGTCAGAAAGCAATTGTCAGTGAAATACTTTGTTCATCAGCTAGGATTGAAAATACCATACTTAGCAAACTAGAGTCACAGTTGTCAGTAAAAATAATTATCTCTAAATAAACAAAAATATCAAGGTCACAAACTTTACAGATGTCATTAAAAGCATGAAGTTGTAGAATTAGATAATATTTTGTGTAAAATTTAGAAACAAAGTACAGAAAATATTTTTGGCTCTAAAACACATGAAACAATTGTCTAATATCTAAATTTCCTAGCAAATAAGATGTCAGTTTGGTTATTTTTGAACCAGTGTTTTTCATGTTGTGCTACATTTTTTCTCACATATTTCCATAATTCTTAATTCATTAATCGTACATTTTTACATAAAATGTTTGATACAAAAACAAAGTGAAGGGAATGTTCATCTAAGGGTTAAAAAACATTTTTCAAGATTAGCAAATAAGAAAATAAATAAAAGTAATCAGTCTTAAGTATGATTTGTGCTTCACCCTGTAACCAGGTAAGAGATGTATGCTCATTTTGAGAGAAGCTGAAACCAGATCATCCCTATTTTGAAATGTGAATAATAAGTTGTTGGTGCAGTTTTCCTAACTTCAGCTTATTAATAGAAAACATCCACTTCCCATGTTGAGCTGCTCAACACATTACTTGAATAAGTTCACTGGAGTTTGGTACAGTCAAGATATGGGATACATGAAAGTACCCTGGAAATGACTCTTTTTCAGATTAGTGGTTAAGGGTACATCATAAACTTATTAACACTGATTTTAAGCATGCAGTATCAGTATTGGGATACTTTTGCTGTTCGTGGTGAACAAACAATGTATGATGTTAACCCAACCCCATAAATATTAATTTATGATGATAGGCTGAATGACCAGTTATTTGTAATTCAGATTGCATGATGAATAATTAATTTTTGACTTCCTTAGAAATAAACTTGAGGGTGGGGTGACATTATTATATCAATGGTATTGCTTTGTAGTTAAAATACTATAAATTCAATTTCTCTTTTAACTGTTACGTGCAGTATATTATCCAACCATAAATAAATTTTTTATTTTTCCAATTTGGTAAGGAAAGCTAAACATAATAATTTGGGTTGTTACAGGGCTTAAATAGAAATCATTTTTCAAATAAAAATTCTGCTAAATTGCTTTAATCTTGGAAAATCATAAGTTATACTTTTTTTTTCTAAGCTTCAAGGCTACAAAAATATAATGGTGCCACTTCCCATTTAGTAAGTGAAGCTATAATGATATTTTTTATATTGCTCATGATATGTAAAAATTGCACTGTAGTGTAATATTATAATATTCCCTAGCTTTTGAGAAGTAAACCTTTCATACATGTATGTAAAATACATTTTATAAATAATCATTTATAAAAGTTTAGCTCATTCTGATTAATGTTAATAAACATAAAATATAAACTCTAAAATTTATTACATGTTTATTAAATTTTCTCAAATTAAGCAAACATCAGATTCAATTTTATTATTTTGGAAGTTCTGTTTTATACATTTCTATTTAGATAGCTTGGTTTGCTGTGGGATGTTACTACTTGCTAATCAATAAAACGGATGCAGCTAGAAGGTACTTAAGGTATGATTTGCTTCCTTAAATTCCTGAATGCTGGTGTATCATTTCCATGTGATTATTTATTATTTGTGTTTAGACATGTTTATCTACAGTGTTAGTAAAAACTTGAATAGGTGAGAACGAGAAATATGTTTATGACCCTTTACAAAAAACTTTAATAGTCAATAGATTTGGTAACATTTAGTTCCAAACCAAATCTACTATTAGATACATCTTCTGAGGGAACATGGATTGTATCCTGCTTTCAAGAAAATTTGTTTGACTGTACATTATCTTAATAGTCACTACAATGTATTAGGTTGCCAAGAAATTAATGTCACTTTTTATTTTGTAAAAAATAACTCAAACAACTTATATATCAAAACGAAACATTTATTAAATGAAATAGTCTCCATTCTTATTGATGATGCTTTTCCATCTTACAATCAGGTTGTTAATGCCCTGATTAACCCTTTCTATATGGGTCACAGGTGAAAGGCCATGTCATCTTGTTTGTTGACTCATATTCAAAATTTTATTGAACTACTATTTCATGAATTTATATCAATAAGTTTGGTATCAAACTGTAGAATATAATTCAAATTTTAGAACTATTTATTACTCAATTTGTTAGTTTAAAAGTAAATATTAAAAACCACAGATAAACATCGATTTTTGTGTCTCACGAGGTATGTTAAATGCAGCACTGGTTCAAATTAGATGTTTGTGAATTCAAAATACTAAGTCTATAGTTTCATATGAATTAAAAACTCAAATTACAGGTAGTTATAAGCTTGAACATAAAATAAGTTTTTATCTTTTCTATTTGCTAAGATATTGCTCATACAATAAATCAAACATAGTGGCACCCCACTCACCTCCTTCCATTTTTAGAAATGCTCCCTTATAAACACTTCTATATATGGCATGAATAAGCAATCAGAAGCTCAGAATATACCCCTTATGGTTTTCTAAGCCTTTCTAACGTACCTAGCATAATTTCTTTCTTTTAAATCAAGATTTCAATGAGTCTTTAGTCTGCTCGAAATTTCATACTTTTTTTAGAGTAAAATACATCTCAGTTACTAAGCTTGATAAATTATAGTTGAATTCTATGGTATTGATGTAGTAATATATGATTTTTGTTATTCAATTGTATATATAAAACCTAAACAAAAAATTATTTCATTTCATATCCTCTATGTGCGAAATTTTTAAAGGCTTAGCAACGGAGTATAAAGGTCATAACTTTTAGAACTTGTTTCAAAATAGCAATAATCTATATATACATATATAATCTATAATAATTGAAATGTGAATGTATTTTACAAAATACTAGTCGACTGAAACACACCCAAGACATGATACTTTGTACAAACCAAAGGTCACCTTCATGTTATTTGATATGGTAACATGAGTGCACATGAGCCGCTTCATTGTAATTTTTGTATTGTTAGCCAGGCATGGCTGAAAGGTCAATATAATAAAAATAATAAATATATATATAAATGTATTATGTTATGAGATTTAAGCTATTTTGTCTAAACATTTATGTTTTCATGTTATAATTTGTGTTCATTCTATAATGAAAGATGCATAATTTATGTTTATTTCCTAATTTCTTTATGGTGGTTGTGAGATCGGTTAAATTTACCAAACTCATACAGAGATTAATTACTGAAAATAACAGATAAAATTTAAAGTTTTTTCTTAAGAAACATTTGATAACTATTTGGACATTAT